GCTCACGCTTGTAAATATAACGACATATCTTGCAAAACACTGCTGAAGATGAATCTGATTTAGATTCGAAATATACAGTTTTAATAAATTGTGTGTGAATATTATGCACTCTTTATTCGGAATAACTTTTGTTTTATTTTTGCTGAAATTATCAGCCGGAAAAGGATTTTAGCCAATTAACGTTCAGAATTTACAAATGCTACATTATAAATTAATTTATATCTTTATATATCATATCTTTATAACTTCAAAGAAACTGATGTTGCAAGGGTTGCACCACACCCAAGTAGGCCAAATGTTATGGTTTTTGGCAGTAGTAATGATAGGCAGTTGATGCTGGATCATGTCCTTCATCTCTGCTACCGCAACTCGATTCCTGTCGGAATATGCAATTCCATACTCTATCAAATACCGCAGGTTTTTGTTGTTCACTGCAATTGCCTCCTACAGTAACACTGTATCGATAAGGGGTGATTCACCCCTTACTGGCTCTCAATAGCTGATAGAGCTGATATTAATTTTAGAAAGCGACTGGTGATGGCGACGATGTTGATGATGGCATGAATTTTGAATGTGAGGTAATGTGATTTGTGAAGTTTGTATTAAGCCTAGATCAAACGAGGATGAGAGTGCACGAGAGTTGGTAGTCACGCGAACTTGGTTAGCTGTTCTTAATGCTTTCCCAACACTATCATGTATTTTATTTAAAGTGCCTATGACACGAAATTTCGCCCCAAATGTTTATGATTGTATTGTAAAGATCACTTAAAATGACTTAATAATTTCGTTTATAGAATTTTGGTAACTTGCTCCCTTTTCAAGATATTCAACTTTGTTTCATATACAAATATCACCGGTGTGACCAGTGGTGGATCCAGCAAAGGTTTTTTGGGGGGATGCTAACCAATGGCGAAACGAGCGCCGAAGGCGCGAGATTTCTAGGGTGGTCCGGGGGCATACTCTCCCGGAAAATTTTTAAAATTTGGGTCTCTGAAATAGCATTTCCAGCATTCTGAGAAAACATTCTGGAAAATTTTTAGATTCTCAAAACATTTAAAAATTCAGAATATTTAATATTGGCTATTCCGCTATTGTC